TTTATAACTGTTCTGTGATCATGTAAAAAGAATGTCCTAAATTTCTAGGGATTAAACACTTTAGTACAGGGGGAGGGCTGTCAGGGACATTATGTTTGAAACTTGCTCTCAGTTTAGAAAAAATGGGGGAGGGTATAAAGAAAATGTGGTAAAATAGTAACATTTGGAAAATCCAGGTTAAAAAAAATGGAAATTATCCAATTCTTGTAACTTTTCTGTAAGTCTGAAATAATGTCAAAATATGTTAAGTCCGAAGTAATGTCAAAATAAACAGGTAAAGAAAAAAGTTGCTAGTTTCAACAGTCATACAGTAAAAGACAGAAGTAATAGCTGGTACCTATCACTCTAAAAGTCCTAGTGGTAGAGGTTATGGACTTTGCTGTCAGCCAGATCTCAGTTCAAGTCTCAATGCTAGACTATGTGACTTTGGACAAGTTGCTTATTTTCTCCGATGTTCTATTTCTTTATATGTTTTATGGGAATAATGTATAGAATTCTTATAGGATTCCATGAAATTAAGCATCAGTTTAATCAGAAATTAAGCAAGTCACCAAAAACTTGCATCAGTTTTGGAGCTGGACTATGAAGGTTTGATTCCCAGTTAGCAACTGACTAGCTGTGTGACCCTGAACAAGTTATTTAATCACTCTGTAACTCAATTTTCCTATCCGTAAAGTGGGGTGATAACAGTATCTACCTCAACGATTCTTGTGGAAACTAAATAAGTTAGCTGATAAAAGTGATTTGAATAGTATCTGACAAAAGAGCAAGTACTACATGCATGGTAAATTATTGTCATCATCAGCCTAGGCTCTACAGAATAAGAATTCAGAAAATGTTAGCAATCATTATTATTGTTAAGTATATAATATCATCAATACAACTTTTTCAAGAAGTTTGCTGGTAAAGAGAAAGAAAATTTATTTTTTCCTATTAGAATAGGAAGACCTAAACACATTATAAAGACAAGGGACAAACAATACAGAAAGAGAAACTGAAAATACAAGAGACACGGAATTGTTTATGAAATACTCAAAGGCCCTCAGTTCTCCTCTTTATAAATATCATCTGAGGATTTAAGAGATGTAACTTGAAAAGCTACCTTCAATGAAGTATGTATAAGACAGAATGTATATCTTTAAATATAATTGAATACATAGATACATGTACTTTTACATTTATTCTCCTATAAAATGCATTTTTCTTTAATACCTACTAGGCTTTAAAATATTTAGCTTCTTTTTAGAGATGCTCCCAAAAAAAGTTTGTTTAAAATGAAAATTTTAAGCACAATATAGGAAGAAAATACATAGAATAGGAAAAGTTTACAAATAAGCAAATGCTTTTCTTTTTAACAATATTTGTTTTTAAAATTTATCTTTGGGCTAATTGTCAAAAATATACATGGGGAAATATTAGCAGATGTCTATGGATCAATATGAAAATGTCTAAATATTGAAAGAAAAAACATGCAAAATAGTTTGGAGATATATGTGTACTATAAAAAAGGTTAATATTAATGGCAAATGAATTTTTTACTTCAATTTCCATCTTTACAGAGCAACTGCTATGTCTCATATAGCAGGAATTAAAGAATAATTAAAAAATAATATTGAAGGTACAATGGAATTCTTATTCCAATATGGTATTCTTATTTCCATACAATCTAACTTAAAAAGGAACAGAACGCAGATCTATGGAGCCAGTCCTATCTGTCAGTGAAATGATTGCCACTACAATGAGTTATTTTCACAAAGATTTCTGGAAAGTTAAGCAATTTAGATTGCAGTTATATAAAATCTAATAAACTCATTTATTTAAAGAATATTACACATTTCTAAGAGAACAAAAAAAAAAAACTATCCAACTGCCAAGTAACCAAAAGTGCCTTATCAGTTAAAACATCCTAACGACTTTAGGATTAAAGAAATAATTCCTTGAGAAACTGTTTTCCCTTTCATTTTTTTCATTATTCCATAATAGTATCTCTCAGGGGAAAAAATCCCTAAAATTAACAATTATAGTCAAACCTTTTCAAATCTACACTGAAAATGGGAACCGTTTTTATAGGGAAAATACAATATGCTTGGGCCTGCCTCTTTCTGAAAAGGGCACTGAGAAAAGATGCTAGAGGAAAAAGAAGATTCATTACCATTATCACTGGAATGTTGATGTCCACAATGTATTTGTTTCTATTCTATAATTCTCTGTATACCTATATTAACCAGAACATTAAACAAGTGTTCTTACATGATCCTTACTCTGTGCAACGCCAAGATAGTTACCTTTCTCCTACTGACCATACATTGCTACCCAAATGGAGGACCAGGGGTCTACAGTAGGAAGTGATGGGAAGGGGGCAAACTGAATGCAACAGGAACCATCGTCACTCAGTGCCCTTTGCCTTTCTGAGGCTTTTTATTAGCCCAGGTGAAGAGAGACTAAGGAAAACAAAAAACAATGGAAATAAGAGAAAGCTGAGATTTACTGTATACCTACTATATCCCAAGCACTTCAAAGTGTTACTGCATTTAATCTTCCTACAATATGGATGATGACTTTGAATTACAGACAGGGCCAATGACTTGCAGAAAGGACTTTTAGCACGAACCTGGTAAATCCTGGAGCTGTGATGAGAGCCCAGTGAGAGATTTAAAACCTATCTCAGATTTTTCTCATGACACTCAGCTTTCCAGTAACACTAATTATTGTCCAAATATACATGTACAATCCTCTTTTTATTAAAAAAAAATGTTTTCCCTACGAATTTTTCAAAATGACAGTATTATGCAGTGTATAATGCACGCTCTTTTGCTCAAATGTTTGAAAGAAAAATAAGAATGCACATTATACTGGGTGTAATAATTACAGACCATGGGTATATAACAATGGTTATGTGCACAAAAATGTGGGTACACATTATACACAGCAAAATGCAGTACGTGAAAGCAGAAGAGTGTTTAACAACTGTGTGTGTGCCCATGGAACAGCTTCATCTGTGTGTTACTCTTGTTTCCCCTACCTTTCTTCCTACTTTTTTTCTCCCTGAAATATTTAAAAACAAATCCAAGATATTTGACTTCAAAATGTCTCTAACAAATTAGATCTTAAAAAATAACATTTACCAAACCAAAAGCAATCATTCTTGACAATCACTGAATACACAATTCCTCTTAAAATTTCTCTAATTATCTTAAAAATGTGTTCTTTCAGTTGGTTAGCTTAAATTAAGATACAAACAAGATCCACACATTACTTTTGGAAGATGTATCTCAATGTCTGACAGTTCCTTCTACTTCTTCCCTTTTTTTTTAAATGCCATTTATACACAGGCATACCTCAGAAATATTGCAAGTTTGGTTCCAGACCAGTGCAATAAACAAGTATTGTCCTAAAGTGAGTCATAAGCTTTTTGCTAGTAGTGATTCTTGCCTTCAATTTGTGAAAAAATGCAACATCTGTGAGGTGCAATAAACCGAAGCATGCCTATATAGGCCTCAGGATTGATATAATGTGTTTCTTTAGCTCTTTTATTTCCTATAAACTGTTCCGTGTTTGATCACATTATGTTTCACCTTTTTTCACTGTTGTTTCAAGATAGCTCATGTGGTACTATTTACTCTCTACTGCATCACTTCAGGAGGCATTTGATATCTACTTGTCTATTAGTGTTACAATACTGGTGTTTCTAGGTCCTCAGGTATCTGAGTTCCTAAAAGCTTATCCAATACCACATATTCAGGGCAATGTGCACATGGTGATTAAGGTACCAGGTTAATCAAGAGTTGACTCAGACACAACAGAGGCTATCAATTAACAGTCAGGGAAACAGGACAGGAATCGTACTCTGGTAGATAAGAGGCCAAAATTAAAGAAGTAGAGAAGAGATAAAGTATTTGATTATAGATGTAGAGGAAGCCAGAGGATGAACATGATGCTTAAAAACAAGATACTAGGTTCCAATTACAGTTCCAAAAAGACACTTTAAACACTTGTATGAATGTTTCCAAACAAACTCAAAGAATTCAATGGTTCACCTAAACAGCCTTACAAAATTTTCCAAATTTCTTGCTTAAGAGAAAGGTGCTGCTCTCTAAGCCAAAGGTCTAAGTAGATGATCCTGGGATCCTTTTAAAATACTGAGGCATGGGTCCCACCCAAAGATTTTTTGATTCAACTGGTCTAAGGTAAGGATCAGGTATATATGGAGTATTATTTAAAAGTTTCCCCAGGTGACTCTAATATGTAGCCATTATTGAGAACCACTGCTCCTAGCTAAGGGTAAAACCAGTAACAGCTAATATTTACTAAGCATATATGTTGTACGTTATGTACTGTTCTAAGCACATATAAGTTCATTTCCTATTTTACAAGTGAGGAAACAGAGAGGTCAGATAACTTGCATAGGGCCACAGAGCAAGGTAACAGCAAAGTTAGGATTAAATACCAAGAGATTTGGATCAAAAGCCCATGCCCTTAATGATAATGATACACTGCTTCCTAAGTGTGAATTATATTCTTTAACTGCAAATAAAACAATAAAAGAAAAACAAAAAAGTGAGATAATTAACTTTCTCCTTCTTAGAAATAAATTAAGTAGCATTTTGTTGCAAAGGTATGAATATAGGCTTATAAGAGGCCCTGGCTGGCATTGCTCAGTGGTTTGAGCGCGAGCTGCGAACCAAAGTGTTGCAGGTTCAATTCCCAGTCAGGGTACATGCCTGGGTTGCAGGCCATGACCCCCAGCAACCGCACATTGATGTTTCTCTCTCTCTCTCTCTCCCCCTCCCTTCCCTCTCTAAAAATAAATAAATTTAAAAATAAAAAGAATCTTCTCTTCCCAAAAGATTCAAATTTGAGACATTCACACATGCTTTCAATAATTTCACATGTATCATCCATACAGCATAGTTATTCAACATTAAGTACCAAAAACTGCTTCAGTTTTAAAACTTGAGGCAATAATGTATTACATGTACATTCACAAGAAAATTTCCTACCTATTTCAGTCCTGCTAACTCCAATTCCATTATAAATTCTCAAATAATTAAGATGACAAGAATCAGAATCTTCAATGTCAAAGTCACCAAATTTGATGTGCACTCTCTCTCCCATCTTTACACGAATCTCCCATTCACAAACGGTGCTGTTGGGATAGGTCTGTGGGTAGTTTATGGACGTAAGAGTTCCACTTTCAGGGCCTAGTACAGTGTGTCCACATCCATCACCTTTAAAAAGAGTTAAAAGAACAATAAATTATTCTTACATCTTTAACTTATACTGTATATAATTAGGACTTGTGTGACGATTTTAAAATATGTATGACATCAGATATTTTATACCTCTAATACTCTTACACAAGATAAAAACAGATGACATAGTTCTTAGCATATCTATGCATAGGAGCCAAAAGAAGCCAGCTTAGGTCAAAATAATCAATGATTATCTTTATAATTTATGAGTTCCAAAAACCTTCCAATCTCAATTGGAATAGAAGTACACATAATTTGTCAAAAAAATTATATATATATATACAAGTCATAAATCCAGTCTCTAAGAGTATCAATTCACAGTAATTGTTTCAAGTAAATGTAAAATATAAAAATGAAAGCATGTGATTGGCTTCACCTATTTATTTACAAATATCACAAACCTCTCCTAAAAGCTGGGAGATGATTTCTAAAAGCACTCAATATATACTAAAGATTACACAATTACTAACCATATTACACATGCAAGACATTCCTTGAGGCATTAAAGCAATAGTTATTGAAGTTTAATTTTATATTCTACCGAAATTTGACTTTTTAGTAATCTTTCTCCAAAGCCTCATTGTTTCCCTACAAAATGATAAGAAAATATTAAGTTAAATGCTTATTAAAGATTAGGAAAAATGTGTTTGTAGCAGCATTGTTTGCTCTAGAAATTTTTTTCAGAAACTAGATGTGGAAACTCAGATAACTTAACATATTGTTTGTAAAAATAAACAAATGTGCATCCTTCCCTCTATTATAAAATGTCATCTTACTGAGCAGGAGACATGTAATGTTGATTAAGAGGTTTCAGCTGCTGCTCCAATTGTACAGTTTAACATTCCTTGATGACAGAATTTAAATAAATTCTTTCTAATAGGAAGATTAAGACATCCTTTTAAAATGATAGTATTTTCCCCTTCAAAAGAACTATCGATAATCATCATTTGGGATAATTCAGTACTCACACAAAAAACAATATTGAAAGGGACACTGCTATGTTTTAACCTTAATATGGACACAGAGGGCTGTGATAGAATTTCCTATTATCTTGAATTATTTTTAAGAATGATGTAGTGCTGCTATCATTTACTGGAACAGATGAAATTTAAAGGCCTATGAATAAGAACCTAACATCTCCAAGTAGTACTTGCAAAATAAATATTTATTAACCTGCAAAAAAATTCAAACTCATCTCAAAAGTAACTTTAATAAAGAAACAACTAACCTACATTCTGATGACAATACTTCAAATCCTTTGCTGATAAAAAATTTTAATTCTCAGATCCATGTGAGTACTGTTACTTAGTCTACTTTTGAAGGTCAGTCAGTAACTAGCAACCTGGCTTTATAAATGTATCTCTCTCATGTAAAGCTTAGCTTTTTAATCATCTTGACCCATCTTGTATACCTGCTTTCATCCCCCACACAAGAGCTAGGCATAGCAGCTCAATAATATAATATGAAAAGGCGCCATAAAGTAAACACATGAGTTTTTGTGGTACACCCACTGACATTTTGCAAATACAAAACTTAGAATGTTATACAACTCACAGGAAAAAAACCCCCACAAATCTCCCCTGAAACTATCACAAAAATACCTTGAATATTTCTGTTGGATATCATCTAAATTGAAAACAGGGGTATACAACTTTTGCTGTGAAAATAAATGAATTGCAATATAAATAACTTTTAAACAATCATTAACATTTTTTCTCAAAGGAAAAAAAACAGATATCCTAAGATAGAGTTTCTAACATTATGAAATTAGCTTAAGATGTTCTTTTACCAATGAGAACATAAAAACATGCTTTCTTTCTATAAGTGTTTCAATCTTTAAAAAGCAGCCATTGAATAAATGAAATAAATCACAATACAAATGCATTTTCTTTAGTAAACAGAAACTAAGGCAGCTTTTGAAATGACTGGAAGTGTTGATGGATTTCAGAAAGCCAAGAATTTTCCATTAACATCTGAATTCTTGACTTAGTAATGGCAAGTTGTCACATTTAATGTATTCCCCATAGGCTGTTACTTAAGGTTGTGATTTTAAAATGATTATCATCGAAAGTAGATGCAGAGTGTTAGTAGTAATTTTTTAGATGTCTTTATGTTCATATTACGTTTGAGTCTCAATAAATACACAAAACATTTCTTGCCCTTTCCTCCATAAAGCGTAATTTCTACAGAAGTTAACACAATAAACACTAACTGATGAAAAACAGACTTGAACGTACATGCTGATGAAGAAAAGAAGATGGGGCTTCTTTTTAACAGTATTTTGTGGGGGGTGGGGGGGGGCATGAGCAGTCCACAAGTACCGTGCTAAGAATGTTTTAAAATATGTGATGGAGTTCAGAGCTTCCTCCTCTTGCAAACAATATGATACACACCAAACACCAAAGTTAAAAGTAAGTCTCAAATCTACCGCACTGAACAAGTTTGAATGTTTCATATTTCAAAAACTATGTGGTAAATTTAACCTGACTAGGTAAATAGCTTAGCTGGACTGGCCTAACACCTACTGCTATGAGGTATATGTTTAGAATATTCCAGTGCAAAAGGGAACACTGGGCTTACATATATGCAGTAGGCCAGTTTTCAAATGCTTTTCTCTTTGTTATTTTACATTGTAATCCTATACACTCCAGCATGTTCAGGTCTTGGCTCTATATGCCTGACATACCAAAGAGCCCCTACCTAGTACAGTCTGAAAAACACTGTACTAGGCACCCAAAGGTCATGATGTTTAATTATCAAAGAAAGATTGTCCTCACTTTTACTCCCAAATTAGAAAATGTGCTCCCCATTCATTTTTATAGTTCCTAACAGTAAAGCCTATTCTACACCAAAATACTTAGAATATGACAAAATATTTCCAAGTAAAGCAAAAATCTGGAAAATATTCTTTATCAACAAATCACCTAATACACAAGGTGGGGCAAAACTAGACCTACGGTTGTTCATATGGAATAATACAATAATTGATCAATAATAATGTAAGAATAACTTACGCATAGTCACAAATGTACAATGTGGTAGGGGAAGGACGCCACAGGGAGCAATGCCCTCCCAGCTGGCAATGTCTGAAGAAGACATTTTTGGTTGTCACAGCTAGAGGGAGTGGGGTGCTACTGGCATCCAGTGGGTAGAGGCCAGGGATGCTGCTAAAACATCTCACAATGCACAGGAAAGCCCCTCCCCCCCCCCCATAAGCTGATCCCTGCTAATGTCAACAGAGTCAAGGTTGAGAAGCAGCGAGACAGCAAAGGCTAAGCTATCTCAGACAGGAGATCTGGGTTAGTTCCTGGCTGGGTTTCATTTGGCCCAAGGGTAATGCTATTCTATTTGTTATGGGTACAACCAAGGGAATAGTTTCCCTTCAAAGGTCAGCAGTTACACTAAAGAGTTTTATGTTTCTAATTCCCAATTTTTAAACAAGTAAATGGAATGCTTTGTTTTTTCGTTAAGTTAAAGAAAAAAATTCCTTTTTATTAGTCTACAGCCCTCAAATGATTTTTTTCTCATTCAGGAGCTCTTAACATTAAGGCTGAAAATGTTGCTATAGGGTCATGAGTAACAGTCCCTAAACTTTCTACTTAGCGTTGTACACTGGAAAGAGTAATAATGATCCAAGGCCAGACTGTATTACCTACTATTACTCACTTTCAAATGGTGGCTTGACAAAAAGAGCGTAACTACTACTGGAAACACAACTTTTAAAATGGGTATCACAGGAGCAATCCAGACATTCTCATCAAGAATTCCAACATCACCAACTCTTTCTCCAACTCAGTCACCACCACCTCCACTGTCAATTTCTCCCTAGATGGTCCCCACCAGACTATGACTGACCATGAAGGGTAGAGGCCTTTTAGTGTAATTTCTAAACTTTATTTTAGTGAAGAAAAAACACTGGAATTTGAGCTTACTGTTCCTTTGCTTGGCTGCAGGTTTATCTAGGGGATTACTCATAGAACATGTGTCCACTTCCTCTGAGTGTAAGGTCAGATGTGTTAAGCCAGACACAAATTTTGGTATTGTTCCAAGGAAAATAACTGAGTAATTTCTTTTACTCCTTATCCCCAGAGAAAATAAAGGGAACATTAGCCATTTAAACGACAATGAATTTAATACAACAAAGGATGCATGGCTTATTTTAGGATGCTCTGAACTTCAAATCAACTGGAGTTTTTTTGATAAATATATGCTTGTGATGCTGATTGCATATGACTCTCCAGTCACCCCATATATTAATCACACTACAAGTAATAAATAACAAAATTCCTACTTGTTGAATTATAGTACTATGAACATGGTGCACCTTCTCAAAAAACTTTAACAAGAAACACAAATGTGGAAAGTTGCAGGAATGTCAAAACTGTGGAGCAACCTAACTGTCACCAGTCATTATAAGCTATGAAGGGTTTATACTTTTTCCATGAGATTTCAAGGATTACTTTATCACTGTGAACTGGTACATCTGAAAATTTCCTCTAAATAAGTGTCACTTCTTGTCACATCTTGTAACACACCTGTGAGATCTTATACTCAACTGGAAAACAGACAATTAAGAGTGTAGAAAAGTACTTAGAAGAATAACTTCTGAGTCTTAACTAACACATCCTATATTTTATTTGGCTACAATGAAGATTTTTTTTTATCCACACCAAGGACATGCTCACAAAGTTTAGAGGGAGAGAGAAATATCAAAGTGAGAAACATCAAACGAATGCCTCTCCCACAAGCCCCAACCGGGAACAGAATCTGCAACCCAGGATGTGCCCTGAACAGGCATGAAATCTGTGACCTTTCAGTTTGCTGGACAACACCCAACCAACGCAGCCACATTGGCCAGGGCTACAATAATATTTTTAATGTATTATTCAGTACTATAAATGTTTAGACCAGCAGTATTATTAACACTACAAATCTTAAATAGACAATTCAATGCACTTTAATTTCATTCGATATTT